GCACTGGCAATTAACCAAATGCTGCAGGTGCCTGCCTAACAACAAGCTGCTCCAGAGCTATGCACACGTTGCACAGAAAGTGAGGTCCAGCCTGGGCAGGGCCTGGGGAATGTGGGACAACACTGCAACCCTATAATGGCTACCTTACAGAGGGGTGGACTGTGAGCATGCCTCTCTCCCTCTTTCTCTCTCTCCCCCTGGCTCTCTCGGTGTGTGTGTGTACGTTTGTGTGTGTGTAAGAGCGAGAAGGAGGGGCACATTATCCATTCATGCAGTGGACGAATAGATCCTTTCATCATCCTCACAAACATTAAGACGCTCTGTGACTTCAGATTCTGCTCAAGTCAAGCTCTGTGGTAATGGATTTCAATGCAGATATAACTTTAGTATAAAGAAAAAACCCTCTATGCCATATTACAAGGTTTGTGCTTTTTTTAAATGCAAGTCAACGTCAAAACTCTTGAGTATTTTGAATGAAAACAATACTCAAAGATTGCAAAAAGGGAATAACTAATTATCTATTTGAAATATCTACTATATTAATACAAATATATTTATAATACATAAAAGTTGTTCAGTGCGTTTTACTTTGTCATTAATGCTCAGTTATTTAGTTATTCCTAACACTTTTCATTGGATATGATATATATATATACAAACTTTGATTATGTTTACATAGTTAATATTGAAACATGAACTATAAAGCTTATTCCTGGAATGGTATGAAGAGTACCATACCTATGTGTATAACAGTATCCTGTTCAGCCTAAGGGACAATGTTTGTGCTGTTATCTACAGGGTGTAACGATCTCTCAACAGTACAAAGGTCACTGAGTGAACACTGTGAACTTATGAATTTGCACCAGCATGGTGCTTAAGTGCATTTTATTTTGAGTGTTTTCTTTTATTATTTCTACCAAGTTTTTAAATCACATAAAAAGTAGGTATTCTAAATATTTCAGTGGCGTAAAGTTAAAGTAATTAAATGTTCAAAGAACGGGCTGGAACTGGAAAAAAGTATAGAGACAAAATATTGCCAGAGGCAAACTACAGGAAATGCCATCACTTCTAACTATCAGGCTAGCGACGAACGCTGCATCAATTTAGCTGTAGTCAGTTAGGAAACCGGAAGTATGAAAAATAGTGCATATGTAACTATGTGCTACTTTTTTAAGACTCACTTAAATCAACATGTATTGGGATTTGATACATAGATAACGTTACATAACATTCAATTAAAATAAACGAGAAATTAAGCATTATGGTAAAGCATTGTTTTCTGCGTTTCTTTAACGAATAAAGGTTTTAATCTTTACTCTGGTCACGATTAACTATAGATTCAATTATTACGTGATTTGTTAAATAGTCTATTTTTAGATTGTGGTTTTCTATCGAAAACGTCCAAGGGCTTTTATTTTGAAAACACCACGCCCATATCTTCGGTTTTCCCTGCTGACTTGACGTAAGTCTGAAGCCCAGTGTGAGGGAGGAGAGGATGTGGGTATGCTGACATCTGCAAGCCAGAAGTATGAGTGGAAGACGATCACAGTTAGATTGACGAACAACAGCCTCCCTCTGGGTCCAAGAAAGTCTGAGATATGTAACTTTACTTTGAAGGTAAATATATCTCCACAATATTTTTTAGATTTTTTTTTAAAAGCGGGCTTTTGTGTACGCCTTGCTTCGTTGCGCTTGCTCTCTTTTACGTTATTTGCATTTCCTTATCGACTAAGTGCAGCATTCATTCATGGCGATGGTTTTCTAGTCAATTTAGACTAAACTTGAACTTCACTCTTACTTTCTCAGACCTGTGTGTCGTAAACGTCTTTGCTGAAGAACGGATTTGTTGTTATTATAGCCCTCTGAATAAATGCGACGTTCACTGACAGTTCAGATTTCAGCCTCTGTTGGACGCATTAGTTTGACAGATGAGGAGACCTGTTGCAGAGACGGAACTCACACTGACTCCACTCTTTAGGCTGCAAATTCGTCTTGTTTAAATGATAGACTTTCAACAAACAGAACTGTAGAACTTTGCGATTAAATACTTTGTCTTTTGTTTCGCTTTTAATACCCACTGGAATAATAGGGACATGGCCAGGTAATGCAGCATTTTTTTTGTCAAAACTACAGGGTCTAAAGTGTTTATCTACTCAACCTTTAAAGAATAAACACATAAGATGAGAAAGAACGGTATTATTTGTAGAAATGAAACAATATCAATTGCACTGACATTTTTGCAGCAGCAGCAGCAGCAGCACACTGAGCTGTAAGTATAAATGATTATTTTCATTAGCTCAGAAGGTTAGCACTTTTATTTATATTTAAAGCATGTCTTCTCTGTGCAAATTCCCATGATGCATTACAGTGTTTCTTCATAAGCACCTGCAGAAAACAAGTACTTTTTTAAAGATGACTTATTACCATTTATTTTCCTACACGTGTCAAAGAGAATAACAGGGTGGGTGTTACTTTGAGTTCAGAAGTAGCTGCTTACGTCACCATCTGTTGAATCTGACACAGTGTAATTATAAACTGGGGCCAGGTCTTCGTCTTTAGACTATGATGATATATGATATATGTTTTTGAATTATGTTTGGATTAGCATCAGAAAATGCGATCAAATGTAATTAGGGATGTCCGATAATATCGGCCGACCGATGATATCAGCCGCACTCTTTGCACTCTCTCGTCCTCATACACACACGCCTCTCACCACGCCTCCTCACTTCCCCTTCTATAGCCTATAGGAGGGAAAGTAACATAGTAACTATTAACTCCTTCACAACACAGGAACATTATCAACACTAAACAAGCCTCCGGTCCCTAGATGGCAGTATTGAAGCTCATTTTATTAATTTATATTGATCGGGGGCGATGGGTTAAACCCAGCACCTATGCCCTTCTATATCGATATTGGTTAATGTCGGAATTGGAAGTTAAGTGTTTGGTCAATATCGGCATATGGAATATTGACAAAAAGTTATTATGGGACATCCCTAAATCTAATGGGTGTGGGAAATAAAAGTGTTATTGTCATTAACAGTTAGTTAAGAAGTTGTGTTCCAAAGTCTTATACAAACCAGGTTACTTTAGCTGAGCTTTTCCAGTCTTTTCCCCAGACCTTCACACCACATTCATAGCCTGCAAATGGCCGCAGTTCTTTCCTATTCTTTCCTATTTAGGGTCTGTGCTTTAAATCAAGTCTGACATCACTGCGTGGGTCATTTTATCTTGCTGTATGGCTGAAATATAATTAGCAGAGATCTGTTAGTGCTATTGTGAGGGATTAATGTCCCCACAGGGGCAATATACTATACAGTACCAAATACAGCAAAAACTGTATTACTCCCAAGAGGACAATTTACAATTCACAGTTCCTCTGCCTTTAGAAAACAAACTTTTTACGAGGCGTAGCCAGATTTCATTATGTACAAATACCTGAGTGCCATCTGCTCCTCCCGTAGCGCTCAAGACTATAATTATGTGGCATAATTATGCTCTGCATTTCAACAAATGTATTTAGTGCAGGACAAACAGCCATGTTTGAAAATGATTACCACGAAGTAGTTTTACCTTCAGAGAAACACAGAGGGAATAGAAGGGTATTATTATGGGTGTGTATTAAAGGAGGGGCCACCAAAAGGTTGTCTTTGCAACTATGGAGGGTCACAGTCATATAGCACAGTCTCTTTGCCCTAAGCTGACAGAGAATAGTCTGTGGGTACATGAGCAATGTTTTGTTTTTCTGAAAAAGATGTGAAGGTTTGGCCCTGTCATCGACTGGTAATAATGTTGTGCAACTTGAAGGAGTTATTAGAGGATCTGGGCAGAAAGGCCAAGAATCCTCAGCTGAGCTTCAGTAAGCTTTTGGACGGTGTGAGACAGAACAACAGCCATGTTGTCATGAAGGACAGAGCCACATGTTTCCACTGTATGGTCAATGCTCCCTGAGACTGTATGGATCAAAGAAGACAAAGCCATACACACGTTTATGCAGACATGCTGTAGCACTTTCTAAAGCCAGTCTTATTTAAATAAGAGCTAAGATTAGGTAGGCAGCAGCCACATGTGGACCATATGCAAAGGCTGCTGGGAGATCTTTCCCTGGAATTAAATAATATGTTTTGTTTTCTTTTAGAAATTGTATCAACATTTCTCAAGTTAAATAGGCGTGTTTAGTCCATTTCGAATTTTGAAATCTGTGTGATCTTATTGTAGTGAGATACGAGATAAGATTGTCAAGAAACCCCAGGTATGATGTGCAGCTGTCACCACAGGTTTATCGTACTGACTAAGCAAACATTCATTCACAGTCTTTTGTATTCCTTCATGGACAAAACAATTAGAATCACCACTATACTCACAATACTTTAAATCATATACTTCAGGTTTTGTTGGCGCTGTAGGATAAATTGGGGAACTAATGTATAGCTTAACCTTTGCTATGAATCCCTTTCTCTCGTGAAAAAGTAGGGCAGAATTTAGGCTGCATCCTCGCCCCCTGTGCCGCCAAAGCAGGGCTATCAAATTCAAAGAGAGAAGGTGTGATGGACAGCCAATAAAGGAGGTTTTGTCTCCAGGCGTCTCCATTCTGTAACCTCAGGACTCTCTGGGCTCCTGGCCTGGCCCCAAACTGGTGTGAAAGAACTGTGTTGCTCGTGCTGTTGCAGCTCTCACCTTCTCCGACTCACAGTGGAAACAGGCTACCCTCTCACTTTCACACAACAAGTAACACAACGTCTGCTCGTGCAGCTTTTTCTTTAGTTTTGCGTCTGGTAAACACAGCCTTTTTCACAGAAGTAAGCCGGCTTTATTTCCGCAGCACCATGACACAACTGTTATCACGCTTTAATGTAGGGAAGAGGAAGGGCTGCACATGTTTGTGTGTGTCTGGCAGGGCAGGTACTTGTGTAAACGGCACTCTGCTGCAATATTAATGAAGGACAATTATGTGATTACACTTAGCCTAGTGGCAATAAAATCAAGTACTCTGCTGTTACTGCTGCCCTTTTCAAACCGCGGCAAAGTGACTTGATCTGAGCTCCACGTCTCTTCGTGTGTGTACGTACTTTAGCTTATCTTACTCTGAAGACGAAGAAATGGAGAACTGTGATCGTGTAAATTCTCCACCCGTTTTTTTGAAATTATTTTTAGTCTAGGGGAAGACAATAGAAGTCTTAAAATAGAGAACCCTTCGACGAGGCCCAATTAATCATCTGAGCCTGAACAAAAGCCTTGCCGTGACCAGACGTGGTTTATTTTTTATACATCAAGGTGTATGCAAGTTCTTTTTCTTTTATTATTTTCAACCATTTTTTTTTACTGCTTTTCTTAGTGCATGAAAAAAGAAAAGAAAAAGAGAGGCGAACACTCAAGTCTGTGCGAGCCCACGGTGGTAATGTTAATGGGATTATTATTATTGTCAACAAATGTGTTGCAGTGCGACTTTATAATTATAATCTCCACCGCAAGACAAATTTATCTTAGTAATGTTTCCTCCCCTTTACTCCCCCCTTACTTTTCCCCTGCTCCGAAGTTTGCCAGATATTATGTCTGCATGTGATGTCAGCAAAACCAAGGAAACACCACGCAGCACGTCAAACTGTGTGTTGATTTTATCATCACTTTAATGCCGGCCTGCATGTCATTATGTTGAGGGCGTGGGTGTTGATCACCACCGGTGTGGTGCATCACTGCTCTGTCCACAGGGCACATTTGAAGCTTTTACTGATTAGACCTCATTAGGTTGTTTTTCACTTGTGCAACTTGTTTGACGTTAATCAGATTTGTTGTATTTTAACGAGTGCTGTGAAATGATCGGTAAACAGGATTAATCTGCGGATACATCAGAATTATCCATGATCAATCAAGCTAACCCAACATTCCCAAATATTTTTTTCTGTATATTGCTGGATCAGAAAGTTAGGTGACGGCAGGTGAATGTATGTTTCACACCTGTCCTCAAAACAACAACAATATTAACATGTGTTTTTAATCCTACAAATATATAAACATAGTCATTTGGACAGCTCTAACCCTGATCTCTGTCTGTTCTCCAGAGGCCTGTGTTGACAGGGCAGTCGGAAGCTCAGCGAGTCACATTGACCCTGGGGGACTGTTCACCATGAGGGGGCGCTACTCTCGAAAACTTGGTTTGCTGGCCAAGGCTGGTTTGCTGCTGTGGCTGCTGTGGCTGGGCTATCTACTGTTGGAGCGCGCCTCTTTCCCCTCCTCCTTATCTATGCTAGAGGACGATGAGGGCCATGAGCTTTTGGATAGACGATCGCTGGCCGTGGAGGCGAGCGGGATTGACGGGCTGCTGGCTCGGCCTCTCTACACTAAGCCTTCCCCAGACAGCAGTGCTCCGGGGGAGTGGGGTCGCGCCACACATCTCACCCTTAATTCCGAAGAAAGTAAACTGGAGCAGGAGAGTATAGAGCGCTACGCTATCAATATTTACGTCAGTGACAAAATTTCCCTCCATCGACATATCCAGGACAACAGGATGCACGAGTGAGTAGAAACGGAATCCGAACATTTTTTATATTTCATGTCAGTTTGTTGACGTTTGTTGTTGTTTAGCACTTCAGATTCTTCCTCACTTGCTGTCTTTGAGGTTGTAGCCAAAACACGTCCACCTCCCTGGCTCTGAACACTGCATGGAGCAGAGAGCTGTGCTGCAGCTGTGTCAGGGATAAACATCTCAACATAGATTATGTTGAGCTTCTTACCAGGATCACTTTTCCACTGACAGTTTGAAATGAAGATGAAGGCTCCTGATGATGCACTGCTGTGCTGACTGAAGTTAGCGTACACAACTCTGTGTCTGAATGGATTAGTCCCACACAGAGCGCTTGTAGCAGCTCATCCTGTGATGAAACACACAGTAACATGACTTTTATTAGCAGTTTCTCATCTGCTGGCTCCCGCCCTAATAAATGCCAGATGGAATGTCCATGATTGTGTATGTTCTCATTCCGAGGCTCTCTTTAGCACCGGGTTTTTGATTAAATCTGACTGATGAGGTTACGAATGACTGATAATAAACATTATGGGATGGAAGTGGCGTTAAACATCTTACCGAAGATAAACTGAACGCTGTGATGCTTTGATGTTATCGCTGCATGGAGGAATCTGTCTGGAAAATGGGAAGTCAAAAGATGGTCCAGTGATTTTGGATTGAAATTTCTTACTCTGTAAACGCTCTCACAATTTCTATTTGACATCTAAACCAGTCAACTCTCTCCTGCACTTATTCATTTCTCACTTTACTCCACACACACTGCCACTACTTTTACAAATACCTCATCAGACTTTGAGCCGGAAGTAGCAATAGCCACTTATCATAGGCAAACTCCTTCAACTGAAACAGTAGTGTGTAAAACAATAAAACCACACAGAACATTCCAGACAGCTGTCAGGTTGGTTTTAAATGTTACACACTCAACAGTGCGACAGTTTTTGGGACACTAAAACCAACCCACTTTGCTTCTGTTAGCATTTACCCATATATTCAGGTGGTGGAGTTAGCGATCAGAAAGTGGGCAGTAAAAAACCCCCAACCAAGAAAGACAACAAGTATTAGCCAGTCAGAGGCAGACAGGGATGGGTCATACATACATGTCTCCCTCAGTTTTTGATGGATGGTATGACTGGACACATTAGGAAATAAAAAAACGTCTTAATGAATATAGTCCAAGAGAAATAATTCTATCTAAACAATGCTTTTCAAACAACCCCCCCCAAAACACAATCTGTGGCTATCAATATCAATATTTTCTGGAGAATTCTCTGGAAAATATACAATTAATATGTAACTATGAATGGACTTGTTTCTGCCTTCTGTGATCAGCCTTCTGACCAGAGGCTCAGTCACGAGTGTCTTGCTGTACTGGGTTAGCTTCCAGGAAACTTTGTACTTTCTTATCTGTGAGCTCATCCCTAATGCAGGCACAAGGAACGGTTGTGCTCTCCAATACTACTGCCGTTCACAAACGTGTGTGTGTGTGTGTGTGTAGACTCATAAAAAATAGCTTTGGTATGATACAACCTAGTCGGTCAGATTCTTAGAACAAACTTCTCTTTTTTGTTCACTCCTGTTTCTCCTGTGAACCTAGCATAGCGCCACATATTTGTTGGTGTTTATTCCCCTGTTACCCCAGTTCTCCCTCTAAAGCAGATCCTCCTTCAAGTTTCCACTGCAAAACCACCAGCTCCTCACCCAGATGGATGCTGAGATTGGTTCTCATGTGTTTTGTTGCCTGTAGCTACAGTGTTGGCAGAACCCAGCTCTTGCCAGTATTTACACCCTTAACTATACACAATGACTCACAAAGACACAGCCACAGAAATATTTTTTCCCTTCCCTTGGTCTCACTCCATCAACTTCTTGCCATATTTTAACATCCAATCTGTTCTTATCATTCTGTTGGTTTGCTGGTTGATGCAGTTCTTTCCTTTTCCTACCTGTGTCCATATTTCTCCGGCTCTTTATTGTTTTAATTCCTACCATCTGGAACAGGAGCAGACGCCTCCTCTCACCAAAACAGATGCCTGGAGGTTGCTTTGACCTTGTGTAGACACAGAAATGTCACATCTAACTCCTTCTCTCCTCCTCCCCATCTACAAACTACGACCAACTTCAGATGCCGTAGTAAGAAGTTCAACTACCAGCATTTGCCCACCACCTCCGTGATCATCGCCTTCTACAACGAAGCCTGGTCCACTCTGCTGAGGACCATCCACAGTGTGCTGGAGACCACACCT